ATGAAGAACTGCGGCTTGTGGGAAGGACTCATGTTGGAGAAGTTTGTAAAGGACTGTCTCCTGTGGGAGGGACCCGACGCTGGAGCAGGGAAGAGTGTGAGCAGAAAGAAGCGCCAGAAACAACATGTGATGAACTGACTGCAGCGCCCATTCCCGTCCCCCTGTGCCGCTGGTGGGGGAGGAGGTAGAGAAAATCAGGAGTAAAGTTAAGCCCAGGAAGAAGGGAGGGGTGGGGGGAAGGTGTTTTTAAGATTTGGTTTTATTTCTCATTATCCTGCTCTGATTTGATTGGTAATAAAGTCATTTCCCCAAGTCAAGTCTGTTTTGCCCATGATGGTAACTGATGAGTGATCCCTCTGCCCTTATCTCAACCCATGAGCCTTTCATTATATTTTTTCTCCCCCTGTCCAGCTGAGGAGGGGAGTGATAGAGTGGCTTTGGTCAGCACCTGGTGTTCAGCCAGGGTCAACCCACCACAGAAGGCAGGTGAGATTCTCCTTTCTTCTGCAGGCCCCTTTTTCGCCTGTCCTGAAGCATGCATCCTTGTCACTGCACGCCTCCTGCTTCTTTGCAACTCCAGAGTCACGTTGAATCTAACTAAAGGGGTTTCTCGAGCAGAAAAGAGCACCAAGAGCAAAATAACACAGCAATGACTAATAGGATAGGCACAGGGTAGGTTCAGATGCTGATGGTGGTTTTTGGCTGTCTGAGTGCAGGGTTCTGAGAGGCAGTAATGGTGCTTGTTTTATTAACACTTGCACCTCCTGTCCTGATTGCAATTGCTTTTCAAACAAATGCCACTCAATAACACACTCCTCCTTAAAGGGAGGTTGAGGTCTGAATGCCATCTTGCTTCAAGCCCCTTGCCCCTGAAATCCTTGTCAACAGCCCTCTTCATCCCTTATTATTTCCTTTACAAACACCAGGTTGATTCCTTGAAATAAGTTCAGTTTCCGCAGCAGTAGAAATGTTAAAGTTGCTAGAGGACGCTTGAGCATGAGAGTTTTTGGTTTTTTCCATGTATTTTTTCAGTATCAATATGGTATGTTGTCTCTTAACACAGGCAACTCTATCTTGAACTGTGCATGCATAACAGTCATGCGCTTTTAGGAGCCTGTACATGTGATGGAATTTGGATTAGTTGGATTGAGGGGAGTTTAATAATCTTTTTCATAGTTATCTTGCTCAGCAACAAATACATTAATTCCGTAGACTGGTGTGTATTCCTTCTGTATTGCGTGCCTGCATCTGTACCACCTCAGGGGAAGGTTTTTGGCAGATCTCCTAAGGTCAGTGGGATTTGGCCTGTTGAATCCTAGAGTAGGAGATCCCAGGAGAAAGTACAGGGTGCAGCAGAGAGGAGCTGTCATGGTTTGAAACACCTGAGCTGGCACCGGACAGCTTCCCCAGCTTGTGCTGGGAGCAGGCGGTCTGCCTGATAGTGTCCTTTTGTGGGTGAATGTAGTCACTCTCGGTTATATTCGGTGGGCAGTAGGGATGGATGAAGTTATAGATGTCTTCCCTCTTTCCGTTCTGGATGCACCATTACTGTTGCAGCTAGGACACGGTAATTGCCAGTCATGCTCTGTTTTTAGGGATGCTTCCTTTCCAAGAGAGGTTCCAGCCAGCCTTAAATGAGATGTATGCAATGCTGTGGACTGAGAGGTGCTTTGTTTTCTGTTCTTACCCCGCTGCTGTCTGTGCGCTTTGGCAGGCGTTAGTACTCTGGCGCCAAGAAGCACTTTGTAATAGTCCCTGCACTTGTCTGTGTTTGGTGGGGATGTAAAGGGAGTTGTGTTACTGTTCTTCTCCTAAACCGGGTGTGTTAGAGGGTGAATGTTAAATGTGAAAGTGGTTAAGGGTGAAAGGTAAGGAAAACTGGGGTTCCTCAATAATTCCTTTGCTGCTTTACAGCTAGTAAAAGAGTGTGGGAAGGGAGAGGAAGAGGTGATACCTGGTAGAACAGTGGGGCAGGAAAGGGAGTGAGGGAAGCGTTTGACTGCCTCACTCAACCCACTCACGATCGTGGAGTGTGAGGAAGGAGAATGGTTATTGGTTTCCAGGCCTGAGCTTGCATAACTCTCAGCTTAATATTTCCTCTGGGAGAGGAACATGTGCTTGGTCAGCCCCTGAGGATTGTGTCTGGGAGTCAGCAGGGTGCTGACTAAAAGGCCATTGATACCTTCCTTTCACCTGGAGCATCAGGAAGGCTTTGTTGAGCTCTTCTAGGAGGGGTCTACTCACAGGTGAGAGGGGAAAATTGCATCATTGATTTGAGGGAGAGAGGCAGAGCAGAAACAGATGACCAATGTTTTTTTCAGCTTTGAAGGAAGTAAAAATAGTCAGATGCCCCCAGGAGCAGTGCTGGAAATAGTGTCAATCAATACAACTGTGAAACATCTAGAACAAGAGGTGAACTGTGAGGTGGGAAAATTTGCTGTGGAGAGCAGTTAGGAAAGACTTAGGTCCTTCAGAGGCATCTCACACTTTAACAAAACAAGGCAATGGGACAGCCCTGTGACACATGAAATTTGCTGCAGACAGGTGCTAGGAAATGCACACTGAAAGACCAACAGAAACTACTCTGAGAACTATCAAGCGTGTAAGTGATGTGGACTTACTCCACTGAGACAGAGGGAGGGTGTGGGAAGGAAATCATGAACGATTCATACTTCCTGTTGGTAAAAAATACAAGCTGTTAGGCTGTGTTTAAAATAAAAGAATGGGGAAATGGAGAATAATTCTGAGAGTGAGAATCTCATGAGGTTCAGTTTTGCTCATCTTCCACTCCAAAAAGAATAAAGTAGAAACAAGCTGTGTGCTCTCCTGCCATATGCATAAGGATTTTCATGCCTCCAGAAATTGGGGACCATGGCTATAAACAAACAGGAACACTTAAAAGATGCTTAGAGAAAGAAGTGGGGGGTCTTTCAGAATGATATAAGGTGAATAGCCTGCTTGTACATGCTGTTTTTTCACTAGCTACAGTGGCGGGGCTTTAGTGGAGTCCCATCTCTCTACTGAAAAAGGTAATGTGCTGCACAGAGTGAAAATACTTGAAAAGACAGGTTTGGTACAGTTTGAAAATGGGAATCATGGATCACTGCTGATGTCAAATTTGTTACTAAAAGGAATTATACAGAGCGGGGAAAAAAGCATGGGAGCTCTCAAAAGCAAAGAGGGACCTTTGGTGCAATTTAAAGGCGATACTTGAGATTGATTTTTACAGGCACAAAATGATCCAATAGAACTCATCGCTACAAAACATTGCTGAAGTGAAGTGCTATCTCTCTAGTGAGTTGTATAGCCATAAAAATATTATTTGCTGGTTTCATTAGAGGGGTGAAGATTCAGAACAATTTTCAGCTTTTGAGCTTGAAGCTAGGGAGATCCTGCTCGTTATGCATGAGGAAGGAAGGTCTCTTCTGAGAAGGTGACTCCATAGTTATTTGTAGCTGATGCCTGGTTCCGATGTCTGTCCTAGCCTCTGCTTGAGCCCGTGTGACAGTTCCTGTGGCATGGTAGCGACTGTTTCAGTCACACCTCTGGCTGCAAGGTGTCTGCTATCAGCTTTGTGGGAAAGGAATATGTCTGTGTGGTGAACACAGAGGTACTTAACCAGTGACCGCTATCCCTTGCTGCCACAGAGTGCATTTCACTTCGGTCCTAAAGCATTTTGATGCTGATCTAGTTATGCAAAAAGTATGCAAGTTAGCGTGCTTTATTGCTCCAAATGAGGACCTAACATTGTTTAACCGATGTGGAAACCAAATCACAAAGCTGTAAAGCAACATGGACAAAGTTGTGCAACAAACTGCTGGTATAGTAGAGGACAGGATAAGCCTTGTGAGTCCGGAACTCTGCTCATTAGCATGTGTTGCCTTTCATTTTTAACAAGGCGTTTTTATTAAAAATATGCTGGCAGTTGATAACTGGCTGTGGCTTTCTTGTCAGCAGTACCTGCAGAGAGGCAGGAGGTTTGTGGCACTCTGGTGTCACAAAAGAGCTTGCAGCGTTCCATCTTTCTGTGCTGTGCCTCAAACAACTGTGGGAGTGTTGTGCTGTGAGTTACAGACTAGACCCACCTTCATGTCAAAGTACATAAAGCTCTCGGTGGGACTGAGACAGGCATATCTCAACCAGCACTATTTTGCCCTGTGAAACAATTCAGTCCACCGAGATTCATATCCTTCTTTGAGGGCCTGGGCACTGGCTGTTGCCAAAAAATCTCTGGCTCTGGATTCTTCATCTTAAGAAAGGTGCTTGCCTCCTAGGATCTCTCAGCGGGTGGAGGCCAGCCGGGCACAGCTTCAGGCAATCGGTGAGAGAGTCACGCTTGCCCAGGCGAAGATTGAGAAGATAAAAGGCAGCAAGAAGGCTATTAAGGTAGTGACTTCAGTGAAGGCTGCATGGCCTCCCTTCTCTTCCTTCCACCTTCTCTCCTTACTCATGATGTAAGATCTAGAGGAGAACAGACGCTTGGCTGCCGCAGCTGCTGCCCACTCACCTCTCCATGCCTTGCTGCTGAGCAGGGTTGTGATGAGAATCCTCTTCCTGACTCGGCCAGTTGATGATTTCTAGACCCATGAGCCACACAGCTCCTGGCCTTATGATGCCTATGTAAGTTACTGAGCCAGCTTTTCCTGAGAAAGAGAAAAGGCATGTGCTGAGCTAAGCCAAACACCCTCTCACCTCAGGCTGATAGACTTTGGCTATTTAAATGAAAACTGCTGTTAGGGAGCCTCCCCGTAGTCTGCCTTAATCTTGTTGAGCCATGTAAAACTGGTGAAAACTCTTCTTTCCCTGTTCTTCCTCCATTTAATGCAGTGTTTCAGATTCCCTTCTTGCCAGTGGAAGCTTATGATCTCCTAGTACTTACATATAGAGAGAAATTCTGGCACTTTTACTTTCTGAAGTGACAGCCTATGCATGATTGGGTCCATGCAGGTAGCCCTTAGGATTCTGTTGGCTCCAGCGCTGTCCATTCCCACCAGCAGCACAGATTGTGTGCTTAATCCACTCCATGTGTTTCTGTAGTGTAGGATTGCTTAGTTGTTGGGATTTTTCAATCCCTCCTTGTCTTTCCACAGGTATTTTCCAGTGCCAAGTATCCAGCCCCTGAACGACTGCAGGAGTACAGTTCTATTTTTGCTGGTGCGGAAGACCCAGCTAAACAGAAATGGCCAAGACACAAGATTCAGAGCAAACACAGAGTGCTGGATGAGAAAGCTCTGCAGGTAAGGGAGAGGAGAACAGACCTCGAGATGAACAAGCAAAGAGAAGCTGGGAGGCTGTTAGTCTCTTTGAAGAAGTAGACCAGGGCTTTAGGATATAGGCTGGAAGCAGAACATCTTTTCAGCTTGGACTGTTGGTGGGGGTGCATGGGGTCAGGCTGGGAAGTTTGCAGAGCTTGGTGTGGCAGTTGAGTGCTCTGGGTGGCTGTCAGCTGCCAACTCTCCAGAGCAGTTCCATTTCCTGAAACGCCACTGTTCCCTGCAGCGGTGCTGGTGGGTGCTGCTGGCTGGCCTTAAGGCTTTGGCTATGCATAGCAAAACAGCTGGAATCAGGGTCATAATTGTTTGAAAAATAGTTTCTGAAAGCTCTAATATAAGTGATGGTGAGAAGGGAAAGTAAAAGTGCTTGTGAGTGTATCAGGAGAAAAAAAAGTCATTAGAGCATTTTTCTGTCCCAGGAAAGCATCACACTTGGGTATTGTCCCTTCCTGGTTCCCACCTAAGTTTTACATCTTGGAGGAGAAGATCATTTTACTTCTTTAAATCTTTTGTTTGTGCTTTGCTTCTTCTCTGCCTTGTGTTCAGCTATTGTAGGTTGCAAACCCTTCAGAGGGAGGCTGAACCTCTCAGTACCCAGCACAGTTGGGGCTTCCAGGTGTTCCCATAGCACAGATGTCTGCAGCTGGTGGTGCTGAAGGAGATCCTGAAGTACTGAGTTCCCTCTTAGCCTGTGGATTAAGTGGCAGAGAGGGGCTTCTTTGGGAGGTCTGAGAAGTGGTGGGTTTGGCCCGAAATGCTACCAAAGGGATCTCCAACGATTTGGGTCAACATCCCCAGGTTGGAAGGAAGAGTTGCTATGCTTAAAGTTTAAAAGTTTCTGTGTACGCATTGTGCCAGGAGTGGCAGATGTGCTTTCCCTGGCAGGTTAGGGATCAGCCTGAAAACTTTCCTGCTCTCCACCCCTGAATAGACATCCTTCCTCATCCTTGTGTGCATTGGCCCAAAAATAAAGCTGCCACTGAATAATTTATCACGCTAAACTTGCCTGAGTTTTAATGGAGTCAAGACCTTGCACAGTCAGGTAGTTATGACTATTTCAGCCAGGCTGGGGAAGCAAGGTTCGTGCTTCCTTCGAGCCCCAGCAGTAGCGCGGGGCAGAGCTGCATGGGACCTGCTGCTGGCCGGCCAGGGGAGGCTGATTACCGTTGTGCTGTCTGGCTGGTGGCCCCATCCCGTCAGAGCGTGGTGGGGAGCAGAGGTAGGCAGTGAGTGGGCAGGGGAGGTGCTCTCCCACCCTGAAGGGCTTGTGCCCGTGTAGATGAGAAGAGCATCAGCTGGTCAAAAGCAGTGTCCTGCAAAGAGCAAATGGTGTGCCCATCCGACTGGCTCGCTGGCTCCAGTAGGCTCTGCGTGCCCTTCCCCGCTGCCCCTGCCATCTGCCTGCGATGCCACCTCTTCCCTGTCCCGGGCGGTCTCAGTACTGTTGCCATGTTCTGCCCTTCATGACCAAGGCTGCTGTCACCAAAGGGACTTCGTTGCAGGCCCCGGCGTATGTTTGTGTTTGTTCCTCCTCTCCAGTGACCCATCTTTTCATTCTCCCTTGGGGTTGTTGGTCTTTCTCTGGCTTCGCTGACCCTTCCTCACGCAGTAGTCTTGTCACTGGTGCCAAGCTCACGCACACACCAGCTCCCGCAGCTCTTCCGTGGGGTGGGGGGACGCTGCTGTGCTGGCGAGTGGCTGTCAGCTGATGAAGGATGGAGGGACCTGCACCAGGAGCAGCTGGTGGGCTGAGCAGGGCTCGGTGCGGCCGAGCTCTGACCACGTTCCAGGGGACAGGCCCTTCTCGGCCATAGCTGAGCATGGAGCAGTAATGAAATCTGACAGAGGGAAGTCTAGTGTTTGCATTTATGCCCTCCTCAATTATTCAGGGCTCTCAGCAGAGGCTCGCTGCCTGTTTTCACTTCTAATGAGGGCCTCTTTGCTGGGAGCAGTTGCAGTGGCCTTTGCTAACTTCACTCACGCATGCACACACACACCCCCACCAGGAAAGCAAGTTCTGCTCGTGTCAGTTTGAGGGTAAGTGGTGGCAGCCTGTGCTCAGCGCTTAGGGTTTGTGCTCTGGGGCAAAAGCAGCTGAGTTGGAAATGTGTGTGGTTCTGCAGTTTTATTTAATTCTTCCCTCCTGGGAAATTTTCCTTTCCCCCTCCATACCCCATGCAAGTGAAAACTCATCTGTTGAGAGGACACTGTGTAGGTTGGTAAGGTAAGCCCTGATAGGTAAGAGTGCCAGAAACAAGGTCCTTGTGGTAAGCCTGGAAAGCCACTGGCTTTGCATGTCGCTGTGGTAGCAGCTAGGCAGGGTTTAACAGTGAGCTGGATCCAGCCCTGTGGGGTTTCTCAGGCACTGGGCACTGCCTTTGCGGCAGGAGCTGTGTCTGGGTGCTGCAAGTGCCCCTCCTGAGGCTGGAAAACGGGGTGGGAGGCATGGTCTGCCTGGGTTTGAGAAGAGGTCCAAGCAAAAGTTACAGTCCACTGCTGGAGTAACCTTGCTAGGCTTCAAAAATGTCTGTATCTTGGCATGTCCTTGTGAATTCTGCCTCTGATGGAATCCACCATGGGTGTTGGTGGGCTAAACCAGGTTTTTGGCACTTGCTCATCTTCAAGTGTTTTTCAGGCTAGCCTCAGCATTCTGTTGACATGGGGGGAATGGGGTTTCTGGTGTATCACACCAATTCTCTTTGTAATAATGTGTGCTTAATGAAATTTAAGAACCAGGGTGACTTTATGCATTTTTAACTGTAGGCTCTTAGGAAGAAAAAAGCCTGGAAATGCAGCATCCCTAGGGGTGTAATCCTCCCAGGTGCCAAACCCCAGGTTGGGATGTTTGAGCATTCATGTGCCCCCCATGACTTCATATGTCAAGGTTGCTGAACTTTTGGCTTAAGATCTTAATGTCCATATAAGAAAACTAATTTTTAAATGGCATGTTAACTTGTAGAATTCACAGCTGCACGATATTATTGACAGTATGTAGCTGTTCCAAATTTCAAAACATATCTAGGTACTTGAATAAGACTAGCACTTTGGTGGCACTTATAAGGATTATGTAGAGCCTTACATTTCAGAGTAATACTCATGCTTAGTGCTTTTATAACTGCCTTAGATGAGACTTGTAAGTAAACATAGGTAATGGTTGGTTTCTCACTACACCCTTAAAGTGATGCAGTCTTCCAGTGCTAATTGAAATCTACAAAGAGAGAATTAAAAAAATATATATATGACTTGAGGGCTAAGTGTGTGTGAACAGTCCTAGCAAAAACGTCAGTACTCCCTCATGCTTAAAAAATTAAACATTGGGAAATGAATATTAATGATCAAAAGAACCTTCATTTTTGAATCTGATTCTACAGTCTCTAAATAACAATTTATATATTTTTGCCTACTTGCTTCTGTAAAAATTCAAGATGTTTATTTCAGTGTATTTTTCCCAATCAGGAATGTGTTATTTGCTGAGGGGGCAGGGAGATTAAATCAAAACCTCCCAGGTCTTTTCTTATACCATTTTAGACTCAGAGCATCATACAAACTCTTAGTGGATTAACTGAGCTGTGACTAAGCCATTTCCCAGGATTTCTGGCTACCAAATTCAAGACTGAAATTTCAATCAGCAGAAACCGCTTATGTCGCTGCAATGTGGTCTTAAAACAGAACGAGCAGTGGTCTCCATGTCCCCCATGCAAGTACAGGGAGGGAAGAAGGACTCGGAGGATGGGTTAGAGCAGGGATGCTGGAAGTAGTGAGGCAGTAGGAAGCTGTGGACGGTATTTGAAGTGGTCATCTCCTGGTGACAGAAGAAAACCACAAGAGTGTGGCCAATTATTTAACCTGACAAACTGTCCTGGTTAGTACTCTGGTTTCTTCTGGTGTGAACACTTGCCACCTCGTAGATGCCAGGCTGCTGCTTGTCCTAGTTTGTGAGGAAAGAACGAGAGTTGTGAAGGGGCTGAGGAAAGGTGTGGGGAGGGGTCTGGGGTGGAGGTTGGTCCATCCCGGGTCTCTGGGTTCAAGAATTAACGCCTTTCTTCCCTCTACAGCAAAGTGTGCTGTGGGCACTGAGCTTCATCCCCCAGAGCATGTGGTGGTAGCAGGCACTGTCATGCTAGCTGAAACACTGGTCTGATCTGGGATGGCAATTCCTGTGCTCTATAAAAGTCAAGCAGTTCAGATGTAATAAGTCTTTTTCTAAAGGGAGCTCTATATATTATGCATGAAGTTTTAGAACCAAGAGAGAGGAGATTTCAGTTCATTAGAGTTGAAAACTCCTGCAAATCCCTCAGGCTTTGCAAAACCATCTGGCACACATTCCACCCGGCGCGCTCCCTTCTGCCTGATCTCTTGCCTAGTGTCGGCAGTCTGTTTTTTCCTAACCTCTTTTTTCCATTGCCTTCCCTGCATACCCCACCAGTGGGATCACATCTCTTAAAACATCAACTGAAGGCAGCAGAGGGGAGGTAATAGAGATATTTGGGGGACTCTACCTGCATGAAAATGTCTAGTAGTTGGAGACACTATAACAAATGCCTTTTAGACAGCGATGCGTGATCCCCACCTCTGGCTACAGAGCCCGAGTAGTTGTTTTATTTTGGTGGATCCTTGCCACAGGAACACCTGTTCAATATGACCCACCCATGGCACCAAAAGCACATGCCATGAGCATGAACTACTGAGATTTGTCATGAATGTGGGGTTGGAATGTTGTTCATGTACTTCCTTGCTCAAAGGGAGGAGGTCAGGGAGCAATAGGGTTCCCACACCATGCAGTGGATCCAGCAGTGTGGGTTGTGGTGGCTGAGGAGAGCTGTTCCAGCAGCTGTGATTTTAGTGTCTTGCTACCTGTTATTTGTCTTCTTGCAGGAGAAGCTCAAGTATTTCCCTGTGTGCGTGAGCACCAAAATTCACCAGGAGGATGATGCAGAAGAAGGCCTTGGCAGCCTCCCCAGGAACATCAGTTCCCTCAGCTCCCTGCTGCTCTTCAACACCACCGAGAACCTGTGAGAGCTGGAGCAGCGCTGTGCTGCTCACCTGCTCCTGCTTGTCCTCAGAGGAGCTCTCCCTGCCCTGGGAGCAGCAGTAGCTCTTTGCTTTCCTGGGGGTCTTATATAATAGGCTTTCGACAGGACAGCGTTTGGTACCTCTCCACTGGCTTCCAGCTAGCAACCCTTTCTTCCTCACTCTTCCCCTTGAGCTGAAAGAGTTGTTTTGTCTGCACCTGATCCTCCACTCACCTGCTTTCAACCCAACTTTGCACTTCCCTTCCCTTAGTTTTTCTTGTCATACCCCTGTAATAATTTCTCTCCAGCCTTGAGAGGTGCTGTCACTCCTGCCCTTCTCTGCCCCATGTGCCTGCCTAGGTTCTGCTCCTTCTCCTGATGGTTGCTCACAGCAATGCTTTACCGCTCCTGCTGCTTTAATGTCTCCACTGCCTCTTGCTGCAGCTCCCTTTTCCATTGGACTTTACCTCATGGTTCCTCCTTGTGCTTGTATTGAAGAGCTGCTTTAAGCCCTTCTTGAGCTTTCAGCTGCTGGACCTCCTCTTTCTTCTCCCAAGTCATGCATTATTCCCCCTCTTTGTCTTTCCTCCTGGACCTTGAGTGACAAGTCACCAGGAGAGGCTGATGTCCTGCTGTAGGATGGTCTCAGGCCCAGTGGTGGGAGGGGGAGAGTTTGACAATGATGGCAGCACAGTGAAGCTTTGCTTTAGGATTCATGTGGAGGCCGCGCTGGCAAGGTGAGGAGCTGATCACCTCCTCGTTGTGGAGGGGCGAGGCAGGAAAATGGGGCTGAAAGAAGGAAACTGGAAGGCTCAACATGTTCCACCTGCATGAGTGAGTCAGGAGGTCTCCACCTCCAAGGCCTTCTTGGGTAAGCTGTTTCTTCTGGCCTTGGCTCTCAAGGTGGCATCACTGAAATACTTATCCTCTGCCCCCAGGTACAAGAAGTATGTTTTCCTGGATCCTCTGGCTGGAGCAGTGACTAAGACCCACGTGGCTCTGGAAACAGAGACGGAAGAGAAGCTCTTTGATGCTCCTCTCTCCATCACCAAAAGGGGACAGCTGGACCGGCAGGTGAGATGTAGCTGTGGAGATGCAGCAGGTTCCCCTTCAGGGGATTGTGCTCAGCTCTCTGAGAGCAGAGGGCTTCTGTAGGTTGGAGAGCAGGTAGGAGAATGGCCCCTCATGGGGCTGCAGGGTGTCTCACCAGAAGGACCTTGCCTGTTTTTGCACTTGCAGTCCTGGTGTGAGCTTGATGGGTGAGACAGAACCCTCAAATTTGGCAGGTGCTTCTCCCTGCTCAAGCCATTGCTGGGTGGTGTGAGAAGAGTAATATCAGTTCAACTTGCTGCTAGACCTCAGGGCTGTAGAGGAGCTGGAGGATCCATCACTTGATCATCCCCCTTGTGTTAACTCCTGAGCCTTGTAAGGAATGTGAAGTGCCATGGCTGGAAGGTACCTGGGAGTAGGTCTGTGCCCCATCGCTCCTGCTGGGAAGAGGCTCCTGCTGGTGCAAACAAAAGAGCCAGCCCGCCTGAGCAAAGGGTTTGTGCTTGGTGTGGGCATGGGGCAGGCAGTGCACCAACCCAGCTGCCCCAGCACGTGACTGACCTTGTCTCCAACACCTTGTAGTGGCCATACCTGGAGCTTTACTGGTACGTGGTGGTATGTGTGCTTTGGGGCTTGGGAAAGGAGCCTGGGAGCCATTTGCTCATCATATTGGACCAGAGAAGATAGTGTGTATAGCAAACAAAACCCTTTATTCACAGTGCAACTTTGGTACTGTTTTGTCTGTGTGTTAAACATAAAACCAAACCTCTGTAACTACTTGGTTAGTGGTTAGATGCTTCTCCTGCATCTTTACCTCAGAAATGCTTCAGGCACCTTTCTCTTCTGGAGGAGAAGGGACTGCCCTATGTAGGCTGCAAAAGTTGATGCACGAGACCTTCAAGGGAGTGTGGAATCCACTTGTAAGAAACTAGGGAGAGTCCTGCATGTCTTCCTCCTCCTGCAGCCTGCCTTTTCCAAGCCTCCAAGCACGGGGAGCTGCTACAGGACAAGAGCACAGAGTTGTAGGGGTAGCTGATAAGCGGCCACTGTACCCAAGGCACACAAGCCCAGCTCTGACTGCCGCCCAGGCTGTTTCCTGCAGTTCCACTGCTTACTGCAAGGCAAAGCAAGTGCATAGACGCTGCCTTATCTTACTTGTTTTGGGTTTCCTTTAGATAGCTGAAAATTACTTCTATGTGCCAGATCTGGGCCAGGTCCCCGAGATTGATGTGCCGTCCTACCTGCCAGACCTGCCTGGCATTGCTGCAGATCTCATGTACAGTGCCGATCTGGGCCCTGGCATCGCACCATCTGCCCCTAGCAGTGCTATTCCAGAGCTGCCCACGTTCAACACCGAGTCGGTGGAGCCTTTGCAACCAGGTATTTCCAATCCCTACCCCTGGGACTCTCTGAAGGAGGAAGGCAGGGATTGCTAGAGGGTGGAGACAAGGCAGAAAGTCCCTTGGTAGAGATTTTGAGATGGATGTTGGAGATACGGCTTGTGTTCGGGCCTGAGTCAAACCTGCAACTTGCTCAAGTGCTGGCCAGACGCTGGGCCCCTCACCTCCCTCACCATCTTCATGGCTAGGCAGGAGGGATTGGCCTTCTGGCAGCCTGGTGGGATGTCCTTGAGTGAGCTGGGCAGGCCCAGCGGGATGCAGCTGGGGAGGGCAGAGTAGGGGAATCTCAAACCCTGCCTTGGCCCTGCCTGCTGTTAAGAGATGCGGCACAAGGTGGGAGTGCTCTGCTGTACGGTGTGTGCCGAGGACTCTGATCTGTTGCTGCTGAGGCATGCAAAGCTCTGAGCTGGAGCTCAGTGTGCTGTCCTCTGGGATTCTTCAGGTGCAACTTCTTTCATCTTTCAGACCTTCAAAATGCTGAGCTATTGCCGCCACCGCCACCTCCCCCACCAC